TGTATCAGTCTGAAAGGGCACCCACAATACTTCTGATATTGAGCTGCACTCAGCACAGGTGCCCTTTCAGAGCCCAGAGCTGGTCATTCTACTACCTCTCTCCTCCCCTACCTTACCCAACTCTTCCCCAGGTCATATGCTGTCTGTCACTCACATCCATCTACGTCCTCCTTCACTCGCATAATTGTTCAGTCCCTACTCTGTGCCAGGCACTGCTCTAGGGGCTGGTGGCATTCTAGTCAAGGAAAATAAAAATTTTTGCTCCTCAATGCTTACATAGTGGGAGGTAAACTCCATCTCCTTTGTGTGTGCTGGAGATGGAACCTAGGGCCTTGCATGTGCTTGGCAAGAGCTCTACACTGAGCCATACCCAGCCATATGTTAAAGGCAAGGCATAGCAGGAAATGGAATTCATTGGTCAGAGTATGGTGGACTGGAAGGAAAGTGGAATGGCATTTTAAGTAGTAGTCAAAACGGTTCTCACCAAGGTGATTAGATTTCAGAGACTTCATTAAGAAGACATGATAAAGTAAGTTCTAGAACAGTAACTTGTACCCTGGGGATAGCCAAGTGGCTACTGCCCTGATTGTATCCCTTTTATATATTTCTGGAGCTGTTTCCCTCCAGTTGATCTCTGCAGCCTGCACTACAGCTAGATGAAAGCAAAGGCCAAGCAGAGTCCCAGCTCTGGGCTGTAACACTTGCCTTCCCTAAACCCTGTGCCCAGGCTTCCCCAAGGCAGAGTCCCATCTGCTCCAGGCTTGTTTATCACAGCCACTTCTCACTCATCAGCTTCCAGACTCTTCTCGGGCCGGGCCGCCTGAGATAAAACCTCCAGACTGCTTTTCATTCAAATTGTATGTTGCTGAGATTCTAAAAACTCTAAGAGTAGGAGGGATGAAAAGGTTTATTTCAGAAAATTGGCAACCATGGGATGCCACATTTTATTGGAATTCCAGGACCTGAAAAACATTTGGCAAGAGACAAAAAACACTCCTAAACACCACTTGGTTCTAATTTCAAGATTTTTAGATGTTAACATACATAGTACTGCAGAAAAAGTACTCAGTAATCCTCTTATTTTTTTTCCTAGTTTCAAAAAGATAATGTTCACTTTCCAACCCTTTCTCTCTCACAGATGACAACTCTTTCCAGTCCAGGAAGGGCTGCTTTTGTCCAAATAGCTTTGAAGCACAAAGCATCCTCACCTAATCACAGACAGTTTTGGTTCCAAAGAAGGATCTTGGTGGTCAAAGCACCAGCTTGGCAAGTACAAGGACCCAGGTTCAATCCCTGGTACCTCATGCCACGCTGGCCCCACACCAAGACAGCCATTGAAACTGGCTGTGGTAGTGCATACCTGTAATCCCAGCACTGGAGAGGCTGAGACAGGAGGATCACTACGAGTCTGAGCTGTGTAGCAAGACCCTGTACCAAATAAATAAACTATTAAAAAGAAAAGAAAAATACTGAGAGGTTGGTATCCTTAATAAAATCAGTTCAACTCCTGTGACTTTTGTTATATTAAGTATACACTAGGAGCTAAAGTGTAGCTCAGTGGCAGAGCACTTGCCTAGCACACATGAAACCCTGGGTTTGACCACAGCACCACAGACACAAAATGTACATGCCTGTAGTTCAGACTACTCAGGAGGCTGGGACAAAACATTGCTTGAAACCAAGAGTTTTACATCAGCCTGGGTAACACACACTCACTCCAAACAAACAAAAAAACAAATAAATAAATAAATGAAATTTTAAAATAGCATGCCATATACCAGCCCTGGCAGTGCAGGCCTATAATTCCAGTACACTGGAAAAGCGAGGCAAGACAATTACAAGTTTGAGTCCAATCTGGGCAATTTAGCAATTCAGCAAGATCCTGCCTCAAAATTTTAAAAAATATAAAAATTGAAAAGGTCTGAGGATGCAGCTCTGTACAAAGGCCCTGGGTTTAATCCCTAGTAGCACCAGAAAAGAAAGATTAGAATACTATATGCTTCTGGGCTCATTTTAGGAAGCATAAAGCCCTTCTAATTAAAATCGTAGACTTCAAAAGTGTCAACAGCCTAACCCTTAGAAAGAGACAGCACTCCAGGGCAAAGCTCCCAGGTGCACAGATGCTAAGGCCTAAGTACTCCCCAGGCTCAACCCAAGTGCAAATGGAGATTTACTGTTGTTGCCACTGCTTCTGAGGCACTGCATGGCTCAGTGGAGTGAAGGCTACCAGGTATTTTTTCACTCAGCCTACTGGGGAGACACTTGAGCATCCTACCTCTTCTTGAAAGGGCCATTTCAATGAGGTCCTGCAGCCAAGTGGCAGAACAGAAACACAGGATTTAGAATTCTATCACTCAAAAAGGCATCTGGGGTTGTCCTGTTGAAGAGAACCACAGTCTGTGGGCAAGCTATAGAATCTGCCACATTCAAGGCCTGAGTCTCTGGGACTCAGCCAGTTGGCACAGTGCCTGGGATGGGGCAGATGACCTGCCAGTGTAATTCATAGGAAATGCTGGGTTAAGAGAAAAAGCATCACTCTAGTAATGAGCTCCCAGAAGGCCCCCGGGAAAGGATGCTGCTGCCAGCTGCCTCCTGGCTCAGAGCCCTGTTGGGCTTCAGGGTAAGTGCACAGCCTGGACTTCCCAGGACAGTCCTGCTGATGTCTGCTGGCCAGGCAGTTATCCAGCGTCCACTTCCACTCTCCAAAGTGTCAGGGTTTGAGTGCCAAGTTATACTTCTGCCCTGAGGAAAGGCAACTGAGTTTCTAGAGCTTTTGATGGCTTACCTGTGTATCAGGTCATACACCTCTAAGCCCACCACTGCCTCAGGGATAAGCAATAGGCAGAGTGCAATATCCTGTGTGCAAACTGCTTGCAAGTCCTGTCCTTCAAAGAGGACACAGAACAGCACGCTGAGGACACAGGCTGGAAATAGAGGGCCTCAGTTTGGACTCCAGGGCCTTCCCACTTCATAGCAGGGACCTGAACAAGTCACCTAACATCTCCCGTTGGAATAACATGAACCACTGAAGTTAATTGCTACTAAAAGTTGTGGGCTAACATCTGTAAACTGCTAAGAATAGTGAGCCTGGACCTGAAGAAGCACTCTAGGAATATTTACTAAGTACAGATGAGGGTGCAGTTTTATGTGTAATACCTAAGAGGTTTCTATGAAAAAGTGGCTAGACATGGGAAGAAAGCTCTTCTCAAACAGTTCTCAGACCTCCTTGCCACCCAGTGGTCTCCCACCTGCATAAAATCCACCCATGCTCAACCCCAGATAGGGCTGGGTAGGCACGGGTACGGGAGACAGTAATGAACCCCTGGCCACAAGGTCTCCCTGAATTCCAGATGGCTCACAATCAACTGAACAACAAATTTATACACTGAAAGCAGCTCAAGTGGAACAAAGAAACAAAGACGAATGTCCCAGGTTGCAGCTGGCAGTTGGAAGCTACAGCTATTAAATGCCTCCCTTGTCTGTTTCCATGCAGTTAACTTGAAGTTCCACTGCCTCTACACAGACTCCGCAAGTGAAACTGCATACTTACTTGTGATTCAGGACTTCAGCACATACAATGCATGCCCCTGAAATACATCCAGAACCACCTATTTTAGCTGTAAATTGTCGTAAGTCTCACATACAGAATTCCATACAAAGAATGACAGACAAGCCTCTTTAGCTCCTCCCAGGGACACCTCTCCACCACAAAGAAAGTACTGAACTGAAGAACATCATCACGTACAAGTGTACGGAAAAGAAAGATTACTGAACACACAGACACTTGACTTGGAGAAAGCATCATCTTAGTCATTCAGGTCTGCACAGTAGCTCTCCTTTAAAGTCCTTTCAACCTTTCAGGCAAAATTTGAAGTGCCTGCTAAGATGTCAACTTCATATGCAAGAAAACAGTTGTTGGAGAGAAGGGAGTCCTTCAGGCCCTACAGCAGTTCTCCAAGGGCTCCAGGCTGAGAGAAATCCGCTGCACAAACAGAGGCGATGCAACCATAGAGAATTCCACCAAGCACTGACCAAGAATACAGAAAGAACTGGGTTCAAGCACACACTCGTTTGTTTTTGGTAAATAGCAGAGCACTTCTCTGTTCTTCTGGTGAGTCACCAAAGGGGATGCGATTCCATTTGTCAGGGTTTAAAACTGAACTGGAAAGAATGGGGAGACTTGCCACAAATATATTATTACCAAGCAAAAGGGAGATTGTGAATAAAAACCAGTAATCTTTGCTGATGTGAAGCCTGGGGCAAGGAGAAACTATTCTGAAAGCCAACAGAATCAAGGCTTTCCATGATTTTCTTGCAATGACCTTTTAACTCACCGAAAAAAAATGAAAAGGCATTTCCAGCGGTACTCTCAACTACGTGAGAGTTTTACAACTCTCTAAAACAGGCAAGACCAAAGAGAAGTAGGTTAACCACTACCACTTATATCGATTTTATTACTTTAATAAATTTCTTTCAAAATAATGAGTCCAGGGAGTTGAAGGGTTCCTGTGTCAGGCTCTCCACAGTATTTTGCTTGCTCTCGTTTTAAAGAACCCACTTCAGCAGGAAGACACTGGCCCGGAGACAGGTGGCACTTCTCAGCCGGGAGAAGGCCAGTCCCGAGAGACCGTCCCCTCCCAAGTTCCGGGCGCCCCGCAGCGGAGCTGCCCGCTTTCCTTCCTGCGGAGGATGATCTCCGCGCACCCCTGAGTGGCCCTCCAGCGCTCCTCTGGGGGACCTTTCCTCAGACCTCGCCCCCACGGGGCCGGACCGGGGGCCTCTCTTCCGCACCCAGGGCCGCCCCGGGAGGGCGGCGGCAGAGCACAAAGGTCGTCCTGAGGGCGGCGAAGGGGCTCGCTCCGAGGGACCAGCTCTCCCCGGCCTCCTGCCGCGGACGCCCCCCAGGCCCACAACGCGAGTCCTCAGTGAGGCTCGGCAGAGGCGCTCAGGGGTCTAGGGAGACCGGCCGGCCTCCGCCCATTGTTGGCGCCCGTTCCTACCTGCGCCAGCAGCCCGAGCAGCAGCGCCGCCGCCGTACTTCCCGGCCCACGGCCCATGGCGATTCGCGGCCTCCAGGCCGCTGCGGGACGCGTCCGCGCGTGGGGCGGCGACAGGGAACCGCGCCGCGAACCGAACCGCCACGCAGCCCTCGCCGCGCTCTGCCCGTGCCTGTCGCGCTCCCGATCGCGAACAGCGCGCTCCCGAGACCTAGGCGGCCAGGCGCGCTCTGGAGAACCGAGGCCGGCTGGGCGCGCACCCGGGACCTGAGCAGCCGGCGCGCTGTCTCGGTACCCGTGGCCTGGGGGCGGGGCCGAGCGCGGGCCTGAGCGCTGTGCACTGTGCTGCGGCAGGGCGCGGCGACCTCGAGAGTAAAGCTGCACGATGTCTTCCCTGGGGACGCGAGAACCTCTCCAAGAGCCCTCTCCGCGGGTGTGGGACTTGGCCAAGGTGCTGCAGGTGGCCCTGCTCTCCTGTACCCTTCCTGTTTTCATGCACAGCGCCCGATGCCAGAAGAACCATCCGCAGGCTAGGAGAGTCAGATTGATATCCAAGGCTTCCAAAAGCCTCGCTCGCCCTGGTCACCGGGACTCAACCCCTCCCGAGCCCACCTGGATGCCCACCATGCGGCCCAGTGCCTCTGTGGAGTTTCCAGACCCCAGGGACCAGGTCCCAGGTAACTGACGCTCTCTGTTCACAGCGCTTGGCCCAGATGCTGCCTCACTGATGAAGTTACCAACAATCACGTATTAAACGTGCAAGATTTAGTAGAGGCTGAAGAGAGGTCGGTCGGTCCGCGGACACTGTGACCCTAGGCACTGGATCTAGAAACGAGTTGGAACACAAACTCTCCTGCCCATAGCCTGAGAAGAAATGTGGTAGGTGCAGTGTACACAGATACCACCCGAGGCAAATCCCAAGCACCTTTCTGGCCTTCCAGTGCATGTAGATCTGTGATTAAGGCAGGAAACTATAGCCCCCAACCTTGCCAGAATAATATTCTGTTGTGTAGAAATAACACATCTTCTTTATCCATTCTCCAATTAATGGGCATCTGGGTTTTTCTGGAAAAATACACAGGAGGGGGAAAATATGGTTTTTAAATGGAGGGAGGAGATAATTTGCAAGCCAAAAACATACAGGTTTTGTTCCCTAGTGATGATAAAATTTATCTTGTCCTGTGAAAGTTCAGAAGACTTGTTAGGGTTAGAAACACAGATAGCACCAGGGAGATGGCTCAGTAGAATAAGGGATTGTCTGGCGAGCCCAAAGGCCTGAGTTCAATCCCTGGTTCTGACCATAAAAAAGGGTCCTACTTTAAAAAAAAAAAAAAAAAAAAGAAAAAAGAAAAGAAAAGAAAAGAAAGACAGACAGCTGGCTTCTTCTTATTTGTCAACCTCTTGCCAAGTTTCCTCTTTTCCTCTTCTCACTGGCTCGACAGCTGCAGCTCTGAAGTAGCTCTCTTGTCCTCCTGGTTCCATCATTAATGGACTAAGACAGAACTCTGGTTTGTGTTCATCCTATATTTGAATGTGTGTTACATTTCCATTACTTTTTAACATATTAATATCTGACCTAAACCCTTCCTGCCTCTACCTCTCAACTTAAGAACATGGTTTTGCTGAGCTGAACTTCTTGTAACTTGCGTTTCATGAGGCTGAGGCAGGATTACAAGTTTGAGCCCAACCTAGACAATCAAGACCTGGTGTCAAAATAAAAAATAAGAGATGTACTAAGACTTTGAGTTCATTTCCCAGTAGAGGGGAGAATAAAGCCCCAACACTTTCATTGTTAAAGGAAGGAAATAAAGATAAAATCTTACAAGACTCCACCATGCACACATGAAAGATGGACAGGTGTTCTACAGAGTCAACAGAGATTCATCCATACTTAGTTGAGATCAGACACCATGCTGGGCACTGAAAATACAAGAATGAGTCCAATGAGAAAGTAGTGGCTAAATGGCAGAGTGGCTGCATCACACAGACCTCACTCTAGTGAGGTGACAACACAATGTGAATAAATGTTCATGTCAGATGGTCTAAACACCTGGAAGAAAATTAAATGGGTGAAAGCATTTGACACATAAGGCTGAACATTACCAGAAACAAGGGTCAGACAAGGCTTCTGTGGTAAATCATGAAGCACTAAGAGGCCAGACACCAACAGGAACTAAGGTTTCTGGGATGGGGGAACCAGGACTCAGCGATGCCTAGCCAGGAAGCCCAGGACTGGACATTGAGACCTGAAGTCAAAAGGAAGTGGATGTCAGTTTTGAAGTCTATTGTAAAGTTTTTTAATTTAATTATGAGGGAATCTGAAGTTGATTTGAGGGCTTTGAGCTGCAGAGTAACAGGAGTTGGCTGAAGCTTCTAAAGGATCAAAGGATCCCCCTGCATGCTGTGTAGAAAACAGACTTTGTGCAAGGCAGAAAGGGTCAATCAAAGGGCAGAGAAAGGAAGAGCAATAAACAAATCAATATGATTGATGAGGGGTCATTTTCACATCTTCTGCTCTTGGTGTTGGCCCTGTGATCATAACTGTTTAATGATCTCTCCATCTAGACTCCTCACAAGAGATGAAGTGAAGGAGGAGATGGCAAGAGAAGAGATTAGATTCCTTTTATACTAGAAGTGAAGTTTAATTGTAAAGGTATGTAAAGGAAGCCGACATGCAGCTGTTTCAATTTTCAAAAATTGTAAAACATCCAGTGAGGGTCTAACACAATGCACTGCTAGAAGAATTAACAAGGATCAGATTTCAGGAGTCCTTTATTAGGTGAGTTGCAAGAAAAATATGACCTAGCCAGGTACCCCAGGTTATAGGCTCAGGAAACAGGACACTACTAAAGATGAGCACTGTGTGTGCCTGTGCACCTGCTCATGCAGGAGTGGGGGGTGGAGCTTATGAGGGAGGTGTCCAGACATTGCTAATTTCAAGAGAAATCCAAAGACGCTTTCCCAAAGTGCTCCTGACATGACTAAATGCTTCAAATTCATGCAGATCTAAGAATAAAGCCAAGAATACACCTATTTTGAATCTCCTCTCTGGCGTGTTTTATGTCTGATGAGATTCAAAGACCATTTGTAACAGCATAAACACACATCATCACAGCCTTTATTATCCCTCCTTTGTTCTCTCCAAACTCCACTTAGTTATCTTTCCTAAAAAATACTATTGGTTCTTTGCATAGAAATCTCTTTACTCATCTCCCTTCCTATTACTTTTGGCCATTTGGTGAGGTGCCTGCTTCTTTCATTAGCTCTCCTATGCTATAAATAAACACCATTTTCCTGCTAATTTGTCTTTCATCAATTTAAATTGATGTCATCATTGATGTCATTAATTTGTCAACCCATGATGACTGTAAAAGAAAAATTTTTATTTCCTGACCAATGTGATGAAAGAATTGGCAAATGAAAAATAAGAGAGGGCTGGAGAGATGGCTCAGTAGTCTAAAGCACCTACTTAGAACAAGCTTAGCAAAAGCATCAGGGACCGCGGTTCAATCCCCCAGCACCACATGCCAGCCAGCCCTGCCCCCTGGTGGG